TTTTTGATCTCACTTTCTTGCTCTTGTAGTTTCAGCGTATAATTATCTTCTTTTCTCTTATTTACAAAATCCTTTCCTTGTTGATCTCTCTTTTGCTCACGTGTGCCACCCTTTTCTTATTCGTTCATTCCTTCGTTACTCATGCATTTCATTCCCTTTCTATTCCCCTCTTTTTGTTTTTTCTCTTTTTAATGTACTAATCTCTCTGTCGTATGTCGTATCTACTCTTGCATTTATTCATTCTTTAGTTGCGTGGCTTTCTGTTTTTTCCTCTTTTCTTACTCTATTATTCTTATAAATTTTCATATAAATTTTTTTCTTTAGTTAGTTTTTCTTTTTATTAATTTAATTTTAGATTTCATGTATATACAATTTCTCTTATTTATTTATTTTTTTCTCTTATTCGATTTTTTGACAAAATTATCTTTTTGTCTCTTTATTTCTGTTGTTCTTATATATTTATTTAAATCAGATTATATGAATATCTCTTATTTGTATATACATATTTTAATTTTTTAAATTTTTATAGTCTTAATTCAATGTGAATAAATATAATTTTTAAGTTTATTAATAATCATCTAATTTTTAATCAACTAATTATTATTTCTCTTTCTTTCTTTGTTAAAATTTGTAAATTGTTCAAATTTAATATTGTTAATATTGTTGTGAGTAGCAGTGACATATACGGAAGCAAATGTAAATCTAAGAACAGAGGAAACTCGATTTTTTTCGAGGGAAATCGCATGTCAAGTTATCAAGAAGATACGCTCGAGCAGTGTGTTGAATGAGCCGGCGTGTCCCGCAGCCGTCCGCGTGCACGCCTTCGACCGTAAAAGAGACCCGTAGAGGACTCCTTTCAAGAAGTAACCGCAAATCCTAGTATAATACTAATAGGGCCATAATAGGGTCAATAGGGCTTAGCCGTGCGACGACAATAAGATCTTGTCAAAATACGCCAGGTAACACGAGCCTAGGAAACGGATTTTTCTCAATGGGGGTCTGTCTGTTCCCCTCTACTACAACTCTACTCAACTGGTACGACACGATGCGCATTATGAGGTTTTCAAAAAATCTGAAACCTTCCACCCGAGTGCGCGATTGAGGTTTAAATTTCATCACGTTCGGTAGTTGTGAAAAGAAGATGGATAGGAAAAACCGAAGAATGCCATATCAGTCTAACTCTATTGGGATTTCAAATGAACAGTTTCACACACGATATATGTGGCATTTACACTGAATGCTAATTCAATTTCCGGCAAAGTTTTTTCTAGAAACGGAATAGTTTTTATATAATCACTTAATCAATGTAATTACGAGGGACAGAAAATAAGTATTCAAAAAGTAACGTATTATATTTTTTTCGACCAATAATAAAAATAGAGAAGTAAAACTTTACATTCTGCTAATTTCAAGTTTATCTAGCTTTTGTGTAAAATTACATGGCATTTTGATAGATGTAGTAGTTGCAATCATTTTTGAAAATACATTCACAATATTTGTGTTCAGTGCATGGAAGTTGTGTAGTCGATAGGAGCACTTATTAATCAATCAAAAAATTATAATAGATTACATAGTTCGTAATTTGTAACGCGAGTAATTCGCAAATGTTATTTTAAAAAATTACAGCAGCTGCTCCTGTTTGTAGGAATGTCATATAATTTTACACAAAAGCTCGATAAACTTGAAGTTTTGTTAAATATTAATAAAATTTCACTTTCTTATCTATATTATTGACCGAGAAAAGAAGTATTATTTTCTGAACGCTTCTCGTATATGTAATGATGTATTAACTAACGGCATTATAAAAAAAAAGTTAATTTTATAATATGTTGGCATTTTTTATATTAATATTAATATGGAGATTTAATAAATTTTGAATTAATTAAAAATAATAAAAAATTTACATATATATATATATATAAATGTGTGTGTGTATATAAAATATTTAGAAAGTCTGTTTTTTTTTTCGATTATTTTATCAGATTTATTATATTATTAAGATGTATACATATGTGTGTAATTTCGAACATGTTTTGTATTAAGGTCCAAAATTACGTCTCTAAGGTTGCACCAACGTTACTTTGATTTTAAGCAAGACTCTCTCCGTCGTTTTAAAGCGATAGAAAGACAGATACTAAATATGTAATACTTAACTAAAGTTTAAAATAATCAGAGTGTTCAACACAAGACAATAATTTTTTTGCGCGCGCGTATAAAAATATCGTTATATTAGGTGTTGGAATTAATTCGTAGCGTTTTTTAATGAAAGAATGTTATTTATTTCACATGAGCATTAAAAAATACATTAATGAAAGTACTTCCCATCACTTGTAAAACGCTACGAATTAATTCCAACACCTAATACATATATAATAGTATATATATATATATATATCCTTAAAAGAAGCGTATCGCTTTTTATAAAACGAATAGTGAATTAGGCTTGTTTAATCTTCTATCGACAAGCCATACTTTTCTGGATTAATTTATCAAACAAACGTGCAAACTTGGGTCAAGCTTGGCGTCCCTATTTTAAGACGCCAACTCGTTAAAGTCATTTGAGGGTGCAGTTCCGCCACCATCATTGCTAACCTTCCCTCCGTGAAAACGCAAAGTCTATCTTGTACCCACCAACAAGCCCCAACTTTCTTAGAAGGCAAATCTTTTCCAACCCCTGTTTTTCGCCACCCTAACATCTACGTCGTGCATGGTAGGATGACTTTATCAGAACATGGCTACGCTGCGAAATATCTTAATATACAGTGTTTCTTACTCTAAAAATGTTTTTGCAATATTAAAAAAAATATTTACTTTTTATTATGCAGCAAAATTAAAAGAGTAATTAACAATTAAATATTAATTTTAATATGTATTTAAATAGTGAGTATATATAGTAAATATAAGAGAATACGACTGCGCGTATTCTTTAAAAATTAAAAAGAATATTTCTACATAACGTCAGACAAAAGAGTTCATATTTTACGAGGTACTTTAGAATGCTGAAATAATGCAAGTAATTATGTTTATCACATGTTAACTAAGCAAATGCTCTGACAAATTTTCCCAATTGTCAAAGTGATGTATTTGCAATTGAGCGCAAATAACTTAAAAAAAATTTTCTCCTTTCCTCGGAAAAGATAAGATATTTTTAGTTTCGTTGGTTTAAGATTTTGAATTAATTATAATAATTTCGACATTTGTCATCAATTTTTCATTAATTTGTCATTATTGCCGAAAAAAATAGAAATAGTGGATTCTTATATACTTATATATAAGAATTATTTGAATCAGATTACCTATAAGATCATAAACTTCTTTTTCTTTGAAAGAGAGAGAAAAATTTTTTAATATGATTTTAATTAATTGAATTACAGTTAATTCTGAATATTAACAAATTATGGCACACTTAAGCTACATCGTGACGTATGTTTATGTAGGCAGAAAAAATAATTAAGAACATTGAGATCTAGAATATCTTAATTCGCAATAAAGAAGAAATTGTCACATTAATTTCACAAAATTCGCGTTAATATGTGATATATCTATTCATTTAATGATATATTTACTGATTTATTTAATGATCAAAAGAATGGAAATTTAACGTCAAACTATCAATCTTACTTTATAGTTATGGATAAATATTAATCTTACTATTTGCAGACTTAAATTTGTAGTGAAATAAACTAGTTAATGATAAAAAACTTTTAATTGATTAATTATTAATTAGTATTATTATTGATAATTTAATTAATATTTATTTCTTTGTTTTAGGATTTTCACAATCAAAAGGGTCATTCTCCAATACAAGTCCAGGTGAGATTTTTTAAATAAAAATATGACATTTCTAACATAGTAATAATATTACACTAAATTTTAAAAAATGATTTTAATCATTTAAGAAAATGTAAAATAATTTATGTAAAACGTATCTACATTCACATGTAGATAACGGGTAAGATTAATTTTAAATATTTTAAATGTTTACGTTAATATATTTATTTTAAAAAGTAAATAAAATATAAGCTAAAAAGAAATATACTTTTATCAAGAAAAAACATACATTTGTGAGAAATTATAAAAAAAAACAAAATCATATAACTTAAGGATAGAGAAGGAAACTTGATATCAAATAAGAAAGATCTGCTGCACAAAATAGACAAATTTTATATAACATTTTATACAAATCAAATCCACTTAGATATAAATAAACAATCATAAAGTACAGAATCAAGGTTTAGAAGACATTTCGGAGATTTCAAAAGATGAGAGAAGATGAAAAACGATAAAGCTCCTGAGAAGGATAGTGTCACAGAGAATGTAGTGATAAAAGTAAAAAATAGGAAGGCATGTTTAATCGATAAAATTTAAAAGCTTTTCAACCTCTGTCTCTATAGCCAAAATATTCCCACTCAATGGAATAATTGTATTATGATCCTTCTCCATAAGAAAGGACATACAGACCGATCAGTTTTCTAAGTCATTTATATAAACTTTATACCCGAATACTAGCAACTAAATTGGAAAGAAAGTCCGATATTTATCAATCTAGGGAACAGGATGGATTCTGTATTGAATACGGAACAAACAATCATTTGTAATGTTTAAAAACTTTAATAGACAAATTATATTATTGTTTAAAATTTGACAAGATGATAAAAAAATGTAACGCTATAACATTTTTATACTTTAATAGAGTGTTTTTGAGCGTTTTTTCTGATATGCATATGAAAATTCACTAGTCTTTCATCGAGACGATAAACGACTACTAAAATCATAAATACGTTCATATAGTTGAATTGAATTTATAATGCTTCTCGAATGCGAACACTATAAAAATTGATCAAGTTTGTAATATGTGTGTATGCAATACTTGTTCCATTTATTACATATAATAAAAATAATGTTTTTGAGTTAACGTATTTTGTTTAAGAATATAAAACTAACTTGTTGCAAATGGTACAAATTTATAAATATTAATCTATTGATACAAACATATATATTAATCTATTATCAATATATATTATATTATTAATATTATTACGTTGACAATATAAGACAATTACGTTATATAAAAATTCTTCAAGTGTGCTGAAATAAAAATTAGAGTTCTTATTATTTTGTAAATTGTAACGAATTACAATATCGTTAGTTAATCATAGATAATATTAACAAACATGGTATTTGGAGTTCTATACAACAATAAGTTCTACAGATGCAATAACCATTATCGCCATATGACATCGTGTGCACATTGAAAAAAACTGCTTACGTATTCATGTGCGCGATGATTTCGATTTTTCCAAGCCATTAAGCGCGATCCGTTTAGCCCGCAAAGCGATGTCGCTCGAAACAAGAAACGACAAGTTAAAAATGATTACTGAGGATGAGTTTCACATCTAATGGGGTTTCTGTATTGCTTGCCATAAATTTATTGTCACTATTATATATCTATCAATTAATTATTATTAATGATTTTTGGAAATGTCTCTGTAAGATGTGTCGTTAATGCCATTTTTTAAATATCAAATTAAATATGCATTAATTTGAAATGAATCTAAATATTTGTCTGCAAACAAAACTTCTTAATGGTTAGTAACAATTGCTTCTAAAAATAATAATATTGTTTGGTACTTTTATGCGCGTTAAATAGATATAATTATTTATTTTTAATAGATACAATTATTTTTGATAAAAATATCTTAAAAGTAATTTTCTTTAATTTTTAAGAATAATTTTCTTCAATTATTAATTTAACTGTCAATATTATTTAAGAATAAAATATATGGATAATATTATATATACGTGGTTTCTCAAAATTCGCGAATCAAAATATCACAGTAACAAAGTTTTTAAAAAATTAAATAAAAAAGTTACATATAGGTACATTTTTTTTTAAGCAACAATTTGTATAATAATAAAGATATAAATATGACCAATGCGGACTATATTTAAACGCTAAAATCTGTGCTTACTAATACTATCGCACTAACGATTGTTAGACAGATGACTTAGTATAATCTATAATTGGCTATATTTAAATTCTATATCTTAAAAACTACTGCTTGAAATAAAAATGTACACATAACTTTTTTATTTAATTTTTTAAAAATTTTCTCGCTAAAGTTTAATTCATAAATTCGAGACATCCTATATACATACACGCGCGCGCGTGTGCTTAACGAAATAACATTTCAAAAAGTAACACTTTTGAGGAGTTGAATTAAGATTTGACAGTAGGCGTGGATACATACTCGAATTTCGAGTAAAAAAGTCTCCCGTTACCAATTAACATTTCAATGTAATGAACTGTGCTCAAAACTAATAATTCCTCAAAATATTTTGACATAGAATACAATATATCTGTATGAGACAGATATTAGGCATGGAATCATCTAATTAAATATTAGATCTAAGTATCAGAGTTTAGCAAATTGAGATATAAATATTGTCTTATTTTCACAATCACACTTATTTTTAAAGTTATAATTTTTTAGTTCCGTTTTATATAGTGTTTTAATTTATTGTCCGATAATTTAAATCATTAAATATTCCATAATATCTATTATACGCATAGCTGATATTACAACGAATCCAACGGTGCCAAAGAAAATTTGCATGTTCTTTTTGCGAAAAATCAATGACAATGTTGGATGGTTAAGCTTCACTTCCGCATTGCTTCACTCCACATCATGTTTCCGTACGTCTCCAATTTTCCAGCAATCTTTTCCGAGTAGCACCACCGCGCGCCAACGCAAGTCTCCTTTTACTTGCAGGATTCTCTGCAGTATTTTCCTTTGCCGCCAAATTGAACTATTACGCTCCTAACTCTCATACCTCAGAAACGCGTTTTCGCGAGAACCGCGTACTTCTCGCCTATCTTCTACGTATTTGGGAGTTCACACTACGTTCTGCTTCCGTTCTTATTTTTCTTCTCTTACTTTTTTGTTAAGTTCTTTTTTCTCTTTCTATCTTCGTCTTATACAAAATTCTTTACAACTCAAAGTACTACACAGTTGTTAAAACAACCAATTCTGACTGAAAGCCTCTTGTTACTAGATATCTATTGTTGTCAACTTCTATGTGTCTGATATAAAAAATGTTGTGCTTTATAAAAAAGTGTAAAGATTGTTTTGTCTGTAATTAATATAGTTCTTATAATTGTGTATAGTTAATGATATTATTGATGCACTTTTCATTGAATGTTGACATATGTCATGATATTTCTGCTGAAATGAGTATTAATAATATTTATTGAAATTCATGATTTTTTTTACATACAATTTACATCTAAATAACATACACACATTGAATAGTACTTTTTTACTTACTCTAATACATTAACATTTATATAAAAAAATATTGTTTAATAATTGATGAGCTTAAAGAAATTTAGTTTATAAATAAATTATAATAATTCTCTTTGAAATATAATAATCTAAATAATATGGTAATATATTAGATGTTGGAATTAATTCGTAGCGTTTTTAATGAAAGAATGTTATTTATTTCACATGAGCATTAAAAAATACATTAATGAAAGTACTTCCCATCACTTGTAAAACGCTACGAATTAATTCCAACACCTAATACTTACACAGCTATTAAAGCTTCTGACCAAAAGATAAATGCTATACATGAAGAGAGATACATGCATGGTTTATCAAGGTACTGTATCGTCTGTATATCATATTTCATATAGTATATTTTAAATTATAAGATCAATAATGATAATTCTTCAATCAATTGTTACTTTTTATTGTAACAATTGACTTTACAAACAATTACTATAACTTTGTATAAATTTTTGCTTTATGGATTTTGCTTCATGGAAAATATAACAATCATAATCATATTATATATACGTTACATTAATTGTAAGATATTATCATGATTATCCTGCTTATTATTTCGCACATTATTTCAATACTACTTTGCTCGAATGTACAGATTTACGACATTTATTATGTTGCGAAGAATGAAATTATTAAGTAAATCAGCTATCTCTTAGAAAGATTTTATATAAAGAAAGGTCACTGATACCGACATACCACTTTGTTCTTAGACAATTTTTTTAAACAAAAGTAAGAAAACTTTAAAGACATAAATACATACTAGAAAGTATTTTCTATCAGATAATGTAGCAGTTATTATAATAATATTTGTAATTATGTAATAATTAACTTTTCTCTAAAATAAGCAAAAATGAGCATCTAACAAAATAATCTCCAAAACTGGCTCTGTAGGTATAGTAATGTCATATATTCTTGTTCTTTTTCTTTTACAGGACTCATGTGTACAAAATATCTACAAATGAATATATAAAAAGATTTTCTAGAATTTTCGTTTACTTCGATATGAATACTTTTTAATTATTTATATGCGTATTTTACACTGTCTTGCAAGACGCAATTATGCAACATAACTTTTTCAGTATCTCTTTTTCCCATAATACACAATTGCTTTCAACTCCGATAGGACTGTTTAACACCATAACATTATAAACATTATGTTAGCTTATGGTATCTTACAGACAGATGTGCATCTGTTTTTATATTTAAAGCCGTATTATGAAACAAATCTAAAATTGATATACAAAAAAAAATAGCAAGAATTTAATTTTCGCATTTATTGTAGTATTCATTTTAAGCTGATTTTGTATAGAAATATATGCATAATGAGTTTTTACTTTTTTAATCATCTAAATAGATAAAGTTTTTATCAGTATTAATAAAGTGCAATAGTTACTTTCCGAGAAATAAGGGGGCGCCTCTTTAGAAGACTTATGTCAGACTTTCCTCTATTTGTACTTTAAT